TGCATAAGTAATTCTCTCATTAATCCACTCCCATCCATCCATGAAAAATTCTTATTCAATCATACTAATAGATTAAAAATCTCAAACCATTCCTACTTATCAACACACACATCCAATTGAACCATCAGTTTGAAAGTATCACCTATATTGAATTTAGCATCACCCCAAAACAAATCCAAACGAGATTTAAAAACGCTTGTATTTGGAGAGTCAGCAACAGATTGTGGGAGTCTATTCCAGTCCGCGACTACTTTGTTACAAAAAAAATATTTTCTAACATCCTTGTGAGATAAACCTGTTGACAACTTCTTATGATGCCCTCTAGTTCTTCCATCATTATTGAGCAACATGAACGAATGATCAGTATCTGGATTGGCCACCAACATTTTATATAAAAAAATCAGGTCCGATATTTCAAAGAATGCAAGTTCAATTTTTTTAATCTATCAATATACTCTAAACCATAACAAGAACGGATAGATCTAGTAGCTCTTCTTTAAACTTTTTCAATCATTTGTATTAGGTTTATGTGATGTGGGCACCAAACCTGTACCGCATACTCTAGATGTGGTATGACCAAGCTTTTGTACAAACATAGGTAAGCTTCTTCATCAATAAGTCTAAAATGCCTGTTTATGATGCCCAACATTGTGTTGGCTAACTTAACTTTACTATATATATATGATCTCTAAAAGTGAGTTTATTATCAACAAACACACCTAAGTATTTATTTCCGAACTTCAATACGCAACATTTATCTACATTTGGAATCATATGCCAGACGTTTAGCCAATTTTGCACATTGATCACATTTAGTTGCATGGACTTCAAGTCATCTGGACTTTTGATAATTTTAAACATCTTTGCATCATCCGCAAAAAGATATATATTCTCACATGCTGAAGGGAGATCATTAATATAAATTGTAAACAGTAGAGGTCGCAGGATACTACCTTGGGGAACTCCACTAGTAGCATCAAACTTTGAAGACAATGCATCACCCACTCGCACCCTGAAGTTTCTCTTCTTAAGATATTCACTTATCCAAACAAGAATTTTGTTATTGAATCCATATTTCTTTAGTTTCAGTAACAAACAATTGTGAGATATCCTATCAAAAGCCTTCTCGAGATCAGTATATATGACGTGTACCTCCTCATCACAATCAACACCCATTGTAACTTTATCCAAAAATGTCAGCAACTGAAGAGTCGTCGATCGTCCGGGCAAAAACCCATATTGATTTCGGTGAAATTAATTATTCGTCAGAAAATAATTCAAAACATGGTCCTTAATAATTGATTCCATCATTTTACAACACACAGAAGTAAGAGAAATAGGCCTGTAGTTACTAACCAAACTTTTACTTCCTTTTTTGTGTATTGGTATTACTATGCTAGCCTTCCAATCTGCTGGAATCATACCGGTATCTAGTGAACATTGAAAAATTTGCCTAACTGCAGAAACAACAACTGTTTTACTTTCCAACAATATCCGCGGATGAATGTTATCAGGCCCTGCAGATTTGTTCTTATCCAATAAAGAAATCTTTTTAGACACTACGTCATCATTGAACCGCAATTCATCCATTCCGGCAGCCGGAACCAATGGATATAACGAGTCATTATAATTAACCTCATTGTCAAGTTTATATACCGATGAAAAGAACTTTGCCAAAGCTTGGGCTTTTTCATCATCACCCGTGAGATCTGTGTTCTGTACTCTGAGTGTTTCAACCCTGCCCACAGTTGTTATTTTCTTCTTCACCTGTTTCCAGAACAGTTTTGGGTTGTTATGATAGTTTCTGGCAATAAAATTCTGGTTATCCCTGTCCAGCTGTTTACATTCTGCTCGAACTTTATCTATCGTAGACCTGAAACTTTGCAATAAGTCAACGTCTCCATATTTATAGATTCTTTTCCAATAGTAGTGCTTAAGCTTGATAAGTCGCCTCAGTTTAAAGTTGACTTGCTTAACAACACAGCTACCACATATTTTCATAGGAACATATTTTGAAGTAGCCTCACTAATCAAAAAACAAAATTTTTGCCATAAATTTTCTACGTTGCTCTTTTGGTCTACATTCACAGTTGTATCAACAGATAACATGCTAGAAAGATATTTGTTAATTGCATCGTACTGTCCAAGATTAAAACACAACTTCTTCCTAGGTTTACTGTGCAAAATTGAACAATCAAAAATTTTAAATGAAATCAATAAGTGGTCACTTCTGCCCAGAGGAGATGAATACTGCAAATCTGATACGCAATCTGCAGACGTGATAATTAAATCCAAAACATGAGGACATTGTGAATCTTTTCAATGCCGCCACCAAACTGCAATTTGATAGAACATGTTTGTTTGTTTGCCGACCCTTACATAATGGATAGAGGGTTATAGACGATTTGCCCCATCTGAACAAATTCATACGTGCAAGAAGTTGTTGAATGAGACTTTTCCTGACAAATTTCTGAAAGGCTTGCTCTGAATTTTGACCAGTGCGCAATTCCAGCTGAGAGTATGAGGTCCTTAATCACTTTCAGAATTGTCCCTTGAAATGCCTATAAAAACCACTATGCTCATTTAAAAAAAGTACAGAGCGGTGAATCAAATTTATATCATAAATTGTTCCTGTTCACAATAAATACCGTACGATAGCTTTATAGCAGTATTTATCAATTCATCATTAAAAGAAACCGGTCATAAAATTTTAAACAATGAAAGATTAAAGTTATTATAAAAACCAATTGGTGATAGTTCAAAAGTGATTATAATTATTAAGAAGTATTTGTAACTGTCATTTAGATAGCTATGCAATTTATCGGAATATTAATTTATCTTGACTTGTCTGGACGATTCTAGGTTAGATTCATGACGCACCGTTAACTCTAAAATCTCCACTGTCTCACCGTGTAGTATGGTGATGTCGGCTTGTAGGGTGTTGAACAGATCTGATATAGGGTAAACATCGTCAATTTTCAAATCTGCAAATAACTGATAATTGGCGGGTGCACATAATTTCAACCGGTTTGTGATCGCGGCTAAATTCTTGTGTCTTTCGGTGTATCTTGCTAGAACGGAGGTGAAACTACGGTATGAAACCACATGCTTATTTGTCTGTCGAGAGCCACAAAGAGGGCATAGAAGGCTTGGCATTTTGCCCTATCTAAAAAACTTAGCGTTTTTTGGCAGTTGCTGGCAAATTTGAAGAGGACTCCAGCAAGATTCTCCATAGTTTTTGACCAACGAGAGATGTTGTTAGTTTTGACGACGGTTTTTATTTTGGAAATAATTGTGCCTTGACTTTCCAGCAAAATGACATTATTGAAACATGATTCAATTCTTTTTTTCCTCTAATTGTTTGAGCGATAATTTTAGGGAACCTGATTTTGAGAGGGTGTTGTCAATTTTGATGTAATCGATCATCGATTCTTTCTACAAGCATTGAATCTCTTTGTTCTGACTAGTTTTAAAATAATACTATCGTTTGTTTTATTTCTGTTGATTGTTGTCCAAGTTTTGCATCAATTTGATCTTTTGTCTGTTTTATTTCTGTTGATATTGTTAGAAGTAGTACAATCCGGTGTTATTTTCCACCAAAAATCCTATTTCTGACACAAATGTTATAACTGCCTGGTCCACGACGGGTTCGTTTTATTCCAATGGAAAATAACAACACGAAATAACTTTTATACTATCATTTTATTTATTTACAAATTAATAATCATATTTAACCAATTAATCATTAATCAATTAATTAATGTTTGACAAAAATTACTGTTCACAAACTATTCAGTTAACTATCATAAACTAATAGCCTACCGAATCAAAATTCACTATGGTTTATCTCTAATACCTACAATAAAAATACAACGCAGAGTCAATTATCAAATATCGCTTTCGACACTAACAATCACTAATCGATATCCTGCACGTCTTTATATACCCGTCGCTATCAGAAGGTTCCAGATCCTGCTCAAGCTGTTTGCGTTTGTAGCGACACTAGCACCTCTAGCGAATTTATTTGTGATCGTTATAACCTGATATTTTTCATTGTTGTAGAACTATAGGGTTTTTTGATGGTAAAAAACAATGATTGTAAAATTGCTGTTATGTAAGCACAGCATGAGTTTTAAAATCTTGAACCTACGGAATATCGATAACTTGACGATTGTGCAAGTTACAACATTATTAATGTTATTATTGTTGTTACCGTTATCATAATCCTCATTACAAAATTTAATAATAACAGTATCATCATTATTATTGACGTAAGTATGATTAATTTGAATGTTGTTATCAATGTTATTATCATAATCGTTATTATTATCACAGTTTCCGGTTGCGATCATTTGACTCCAAAGCGATTCCGTTTCTCCATTGGTTTTTAACTTTTGCTTCAACCTCATAATGAAAAAAACTAGGGGGCCTCAGAGAAAATCTTAAAACAAGACAATAGTTACAATTTGCTGACGACACAGCAATGATCGCCAACAATACTGAAAATGCACAGAAGCTTATTGATGTAAACCGGGCTTGGTGCAACGCAACCGGCATAAAACTAAGAATTGACAAATGTTCAACCTCTGGCATGAGAAAAAAACGGGTGTCTATGAATAATTTCTTCCAATGCTGACCATTGATGACTAACCAAGTCAACATTGGGGGACTATTTTTTATCTGGGCGAAATTCATGTTTTTGAAGGCAACAGTAATTCAACAATGCAACACTCACCCGCGAGGCCACTTTTGATGATGATTTAAATAGGAAGTTAATCTGGGAAATTCATAATCTTGAAATTAACGTTGATTAACGTTGATTAAAATATAGGTTAAATGATGATTTTAATGCTGATTCGAATGTTTATTTAGGGCACGAATTGGTGACAGATGATATTTTTAGTTTTGGGATAACGCCACCAACATGCACCTGAAAGAAAAAAAGCTTAGTTTTCGTCTACCTGATCGACAGAAATTATGTAAACAAAAAATCTTGCAACATGCATCAAAGATATCCGTCTAATCATTCTACACCTCGTAAAGTCAATAGAAAGAAAGTCCTTGCTTCAAGTGCAGACAAAATCAAGACAAGTAAACGACGTCTGTCTATAGCTAGAGAAACCGAAACAATGAAAACGTGGCGTGACTCGAAAAGGAATAACGCAGGTTTTAAGAGCAAAGACCTGGTTCTACGGCCCAGAAAAAGGCAATGTCCGGCGAAACTCCTAAGGAATTGGAAAGATCGGTGCAAAAGATACCCTGCAAAACTCCCAAAGAATTGGAGAGGTCGGTACAAGATCACTAACAAGTTAAATGACGTAATGAAAAGACCTATGATCATGGAAAAAAATGGACAAAGATGAAAGTTGATTATCCCTATCTATCAAAATAAAAAATGTTATGCCTATGTTAGAAACTAACAGGCTAAGGTGTGGGTAATGTTATAACCGCCGAAATGGTTCAATTGTGCTATATTATCTATTATTGTTATCTTTGCTATATTTGTAATCTTTGGATATAGGATCGTAAAAATATAGGCTATATACGTCATGCGTAGTCAGATTTGCAGTCAGGTTTCCAGCAGAGAAAACGAAGTCGTAAATGTGATTTATATAAGTTACTTGGATTAGTTTATTGTTTCTATTTCTGTTGGTATACAAATAAACGTTCAACAAAAGCTGTTGTGTTCATCTATCGGAAATCTATGGGTAACGTTCTTTATGAAAAATAAATTATCAAAATATTTCTTTCATAGGTTTCTTAGGTATTTTTATTTCTTTTAAAAAAAATAAACATAACTGAAAGAAATAAACAAGTATTTGACTTTCATTTAATAAAAATCAAAAATATGTTTATAAAACTTTTAAATTGTTTTTGATAAATGAAAATTATTAAATTGGTATCATTAGGATTGTAATTATTTGACTCACCTTTCCGTTTCTAGTTGTATTATTAATTTTTAGATCGAGCAATAAGAAATTTTTTATAATAGCAGTTGCGCTTCTACATTTTCAGCGTTAAACAAATTTTGCAAACTCAATCGTTAATGTTTAAAAATAATTGTTTTTCGTTGCTATTAATGCTTTTTAGCACTGTTGTCCAACCTTTCAACCTAACCCTTCGCAAAGTTGTTGACCGTCGGATTGAAAAAAATTAGACTACCAAATTGTTTTTTTTTTCAAACTAAAGCTCTTTAAATAAAAAGACTAAATTCAAAAATTTTATTTGTAAAAAAATTTATCGTTAAATTGATATTAAAAATGTAAATAATATAAATATTAATTAAATCAATATTATCGAAAAATTTGGCATTGCTTTTGCTTACGTAAGTAACCAACACTTGCTCTTCAAATGGAATAATCTATTCTTAATGAGAAAATGTTATAAATGTTAAAGATATAATTAGGCCATGTGCGGGGAATTATAAAGTTGGTCGTTAGATAAAAATGATCCTGTTTGGGCTAGTTCGATTCGAATAATAATTCTTATGGCTGTGCCTACCATAGCAGCTCAAGCTCCAAATATAAAGTATAGGGTTTTTGGTTTTGCTGGCATTTGAAACAAGTGTTTTTTTGAATGAGTTTACGAGGTGTCGAATGACCAGACGGATAGCTTAGATGCATGTAGTAAAATTTTTAGTTGACATCTTTCCTGTCGATCAGTGATGGAGCGTAAAAAACTCATCCTCATCAGCAATGAAGCCGTCGTTGAAGTCATCCTCCAGGTAGAATAGGACAAAGCCTTCCTTCCCGATGGAGTAGTTTTTTTAAAACTTCAACTATCACTTGTCACCGAATCTCTCTTTTGTTTTACGTTTTTTTTGTGTATTTTAAAAGTTTCAACATGTTTGATTTGATGTCCGAAATGGATATTTGCCTTAATATCTCTATACTGATATTGTTAATTTTTAAATTACTGCTCTCACAGAGTAATGTGCTATCTAAATTATCAAAAAATGAATTTTTGCTATTATTGTTACTATTATTGATTTGTTGTCAATGAGAGGTCTGTTAGAATTGAAAGCAAGCGAATTGCTGGCAGCAAGATCCAAGTTGTAGTCTCACTGCATGTAGAAAGTTTCAATGTCTGGAATATTTTCAGTGTGGTTCTTAAGCCTTAGCCTTAAGAGAATAGTATGATTAGCAGTATCAAGGGCAGAGGAAAAGTCAAAAGCAAAATGAAAAGTAAGATTATTATTGCCACTAGAGAGAAGGATATCATTATGTATTTTGAGTAAAGAAGTTTCAGTACTGTGAGCAGGTCCGAAACCAGATTGAGATACAGGTAGCAAGGAATTAGAGTTTAAATAAGATAACAATTGATTATAAACTACTTTTTCCATTATTTTAGATATGAAATTAATATTAGTAACAGGTCTATAATTAAATAAAGAGGTAGGATCTAAGGATGAGTTTTTAAAAATAGAAATAACAATAGAAGTCTTATAACAAGTAGAAAATTTTGAGGTAAAAAGAGATAAATTAACTAATTTGAGAATGATAAGATAAAATATTGAAGAAAATTCTTGAAGTAAATTAGAAGAAAGTAGATCTAGAAAGCCTGTTTTAGGTTTTAGTAAGTTCTAGAAGCATAATCGAACCAAGTAGCCTTACGTGAATAGAGCCTATAAGTAAAAGATTTAAGCGGAATAAGCTTATCAAGAATAAAAGTAATGTAGATATTAAAAGCATAGACAAAATTAGAAAATAAGGTAGTATCAAAAGTTAGTTTCAGTAAGAGATTGAAGAAAAATATCTTTATAATAAGAAAACCAGATGAATATAGAGCGATTTTTCATTAAATGATTTTATGTTAATATTAAAAAGTGAAAGTGTTTAGGCAGGTTGGCTATTGGTACTGATATTTTTTATCGTTCGAGTCAAAAGTTACGACCGTAATATTAATATTAATTTATTTTTTTTATTCTATTTTTTTAATTGTTATTCAATGTAGTAATTAATTACTTTTATTTGGTATAAATTTAAAAAAATGAAATCGACATTACCGAAAATAATTAAAAGTTGAAAAAATTGAGGTTCTTTGCATATCCCTGCTTCAAACCATAACAAAGTGTTGTAAATTGGTAAATAGGCCTCCCCTTGCAGCCATCGGCATCACTAGCCAATTTTCCAAACATTTTTTGGCGTCCATTTATACGGAATTTTACATAAATCCTCATTTATCACATAAGAACTTTGCTTTCTCAATCGTTTCTTTACAGATCAGATCCCTAATTTCCGTAAGTTCAGTCACCAATGATTAAAGATCATAAAATGCTTCTCTAAAATTCATTCTAGTAAATAAGACCTTATTTGCATGATGAATTCGGATAACAACAGTTTCATTAAATTTTCATGATAAACTTGGATAATTCTATCTTCAACAAATTCTAGTAAGAAAAATTGAAATGACAAACATTAAATTGATTAATGCCAACAATTTGGTAGAATTCATAAAATACTGTATATACGTACTAACTACTTTTTTATTCATTTTTATCTTATACAGAAAAAAGCTTCTTTTCGGTAACCCCTTACCATTTTCAATGTAGTATGTTATCAACTACCAGCTGTATTTTATGTATACTTAAATCTGTGCGTTTCAACTTTATTGGCTCCAAAAATTAATTTTGCGTTGATCCGTTTTGGCACGGCAATTGCGAAAAAAGTAGCTAAAAACTTTGTTTTCTATATAAACAAGTTAAAAACGATAATAAAATACGATAGGAAATATTGAAAATTTGAATCAGAAACTGATCAATGGTGAAAATGTAGTGATATTTCTTAACAATTGTATCTACGACAGTCTTAACACTAATTTTATATTTGTATATATATAATACTTTGTTAAAAGTTAAAAACATTTAAAATAGTTGAATACTAATTATGAATTAATTGAATGAATTAAGCGCAGTTTTGTCGTCACACATTTGAATATCTCGCAATTGCCGGGCAAAACCGCCTATAATATTCGTTCAAATATTATCACGTTAAAAGATGCGATAAAAATTATGTAAAAAATTTAAAAGTCCGTGAGAGGAGGCTCCCTTTTGAAAGAAAGCCCTACTAAAACCATTTTCTCACATTGAGTTTTGCGGTGGGTTTATTGAGCACATACATGTCAATTTAAAATGTGTAACTATATCCATGTGTGTAATCAGGTCTACTTGGCGCTATTTATTCAGAACTGAAAATCTTTGTTTGAGCCAATGTAGAATTATGTGATACATACAGCAATGTTATAATAAATAATTACGTTAAAGTTTTTAAAAACATGTTAATGTTATTTATTATACAAGAATAGTTTTTATCATTACATAAGAAAATATTCACAATGAAACCGTGCTTTTCTGGCTCTACTTCAAAACCGAAAGAAGATAAAGGTATCTTTTTTAAATAATCAATTATCTCATTTTTTGATCTGCGCAAAATTACTCAACATTGTTATTGGCGAGCATTTTTTAATGTTAGGATTATATTGGGGTAGGCCAGATGGATCGAATCGAGTGTATGACGAAACTTCAACCATGACAAACTGTTGCGACATGCTGAATATCAGCCAGTATAATCAAATCCCAACAGTATCACAAAGTTTATTCCAGATAATTATTTTTCCTGTACAACATTTCCTTAACTTATTTCAACGATTAATTCTCAAAATTCTTTTGCTTTCAAGTTATTTTGGAGCTTAACATGCGCGTAAACTTTTAATTAACTCCACCACTGGGGCTGCAATCCAGCAAAATTCGGTGCCGGTCTCAAGTCCGGGTAAAGGAGGAGGGTTGACAGGAGCTTGCTACACTGTTTTAAAAACGCTACAAACACGATGGTAAACACAACAGCAGATAATCATACCGGCTCGGTCGTCGCCCGGAACCACAAGGACCGCATTGCAGCTTTGGGGACTAGGAGCTACAATGAAAAGTTTGTTACTGAGTCCCAAAGAGGTCAAATGAAGATGAAATTCACAGTTGGAATTTGGAATGTGAGGTCACTGTGGCAAGCTGGAACATATGCAATGCTAAAAAAAGAGCTTGAGAGGTTTAGATATGATGTGGTTGGTTTGTGTGAAGTTAGATGGACAGGGAGTGGAGAATTGGAGAAAGGAAAACTGTTATGGTCAGGCACAGAAACCGAGCATATTTATAGAGTAGGAATGATTCTTGGAGAGAAAGCAAGAAGAGCATTAATTTAATACAATCTCGTAAATGACAGGTTGATGTATGCCAGATTCAAAGGATATCCATGAGATATTATTGTGATAGTTGCTTATGCTTGCTTTTGCTCCAACAACAAATCGTTCGGATGATGAAGTTGAAACGTTCTACAAACAACTGGAACAAACATTGAAAACATTACCAAAGAAAAATGTTAAGATCATTGTTGGGGACTGGAATGCTAAAATTGGAAGTGACAACATTGAATTTGAAGAAGTTATGGGAAAATACGGCGTAGGAGACAGAAATGATAGAGGAAAAAAGTTATTAAAGTTTGTGAGGACCGACGATTGTATGTCACAAACACAAAGAGGCAAAACAACAACAATGTACTTGGGAGTTACCAGACGGAAAAACAATGAACATGATATATTTAATACTGATAGAACAGAAATGTATGAAATTTGTCACCCAATGTAGAGCTTTCCCAAGTGCAGAAATTGGATCAGATCATATCCTTGTCTTATGCAACGTCACCATAGAGATAAAACAAAAGCTTAAAATGGAAGAGAGCATTAGGAAAGTGAAATACAACACAGAAATGATAAAGCAGAAGATGGAGGATATAAAAAATAAAATCGAACATGAATTGGACTCAGCAGCCAATTACGATATGAAAACAAGAGTTTGCAACCTAGAAAAAAATTCTCAAAGGAGCAGGTGAAAGTTGTAAAATCAAAACGAACAAAATAAAACCGTGGATAAGAGATGAAACATGGAACCTTGTAGAAGAAAGAAGTTTGAAAATGACAAAAAGACAGAGTGAAAAAAATAAGATGAAATCCAAAGAAGTCTGCCAAAAAATGAAAAAGAGTGCTAGAGCAGATAAAAGGAGATGGATTAATGGTAAATGTGAAAAGGTAGAGATGATTGGACAAAACAAGACAAGAGAGGCGTACCAGCTGGTTAAACAGTTAAAAGGAAAACAGAAAAATATGTCAAGGATTATTAAAAATAAAAACGGAAACATCCTAACAGAAAGTAAAAAGATTAAGGATAGACTGAATATATTAATGACTTATTCACAGACAAAAACACATACAAAAAAGAAACGCTTGAAATTTTGAAAAACAGAAAAATAATCAATGAAAAAGAAAGTGAAATAACGAGGGAAGAAATTCCAAGAGCGGTGAGTAAAATGAAGAACAACAAAAGTACAGGAAAGGATGGTATTCCGATAGAACTGATAAGAGCAGGAGGACAAGTCGTGTGTAAAGAAATTTACACAATCTGTCAAGAAATTTGAGAAAGTGGAAAGTGGCCAGAAGAATGGTGCAAGTCAGTTCTGGTTATGCTGCCAAAAAAGGGAGACCAAAAAGACTGTAATATGCAAAATCATGCTGACCATCATAAAAGAACGACCGGAAAAGGTCATAGAGCAACATCTGCATGAAGAACAAGCAAACTTCAGAAAAGACAGAAGCACGATCTAAAAATTCTGATGTTGGGATGGAGGATGCAAAAAGTAGCGGCCAGACAATTTACCATTGCTTTGTTGATTTTAAGAAAGCGTTTGATTCTGTCTGGCATGAAAGTTTGTGGGCAACATTAGAAAGTATGGGGACATCAGAAAAGCTGGTCAAAGTACTGAAAGGACTTTATGAAAAATCAAAAATGTCGGTAATAATAGGTACAGAATTTGGGGATTGGATAAAAGCAGACATTGCAAGCAGACAGGGCGATCAACAATACTATTCATAGCATTGCTAGAAAGAGCAATGGAAAAATGGAAAATTCGGAATTGGGTAGAATTGACATAGGAAGGAGAACTGTCAAAAATCTCAAGTTTGCAGACGATATAGACCTTCTAGCTTTTAGTGAAAAAGGTTTACAGAAACTAATTGAACTAACACATTTTGGTGGAAAAGATCACGGATTGCATATCAACAAAGACAAAACAAAAGTGATGATTACGGGAAAAGGCAGAAACAATGCGGAATTTCAGATAGAATCAGAAAAACTCGAACAAGTAGACCGATTTGTGTATCTTGGCAGTCTTATAACCTGTGACAACAGCTGCCCTAAAAAATTGACAAAAGGACAGCAATAGCCCATGGAATTTTCGCATCATTGAAAAAAATATGGAAAAGTGGAAATATATTTATAAAAACAAAGTTTAGAATGATAGAATCTTGCGTTTTTCCGAGCTTGCTCTATGCATGTGAGACACGGACAATAAAAAAAAGAAACAAAGAGAGATTGGAAGCATTTGAGATGAAGTGTTACAGAAATTTGTTGGGAATCAGTTGGAGACAGAAAGTAAAGAATGAAACCATCAGAAATCAACTTGGAAGACAGAAAAGTGTATATGACAAAGTCAGAGAAAGAAAATTGGGATTTTTTGGACACATTTGTAGAATGAGAGAAGACAGATTGATTAAGATAGTACTAACGAGGAAAAGAGATTGAAAGAAAAAATTGGTAGACCTGCAATAAATGAATAGATGACATTACTAAATGGACTGGTGTTGGTATTCTAAATTCAATAAAACTGGCCAAAGATAGAAAAAGTTTTTAGAAAAAAAAGAAAAAATAAAAGTAAAAAGCATGCTTAGATGTACACCATCGGCCTCGACGGTCCTTCGACGGACAAGGAGGATCATTGATTGATTGATTGAAACTTTTAATTGAAGACTTAGAATTCAAGATTTTAAACAGGATTTTATATTATTTGCAAGTGACTTTTTGTTATAACAGGTTAAGTTTATCTAAAGTAGATAAACAGCTAGAAAAACTGTCAAGAAAAGTCGATCATTTTTCTAATGTCCTGTCGTCAGTGGCGGATCTAGAAATTTCTGGTGGGGGTATAATTGACATTATTCGTAAAGAATACAAAATATTTGATAAAGTCAAGTTATTTTTATTTATACAATAAAATACGTTAGCAGCAAGCATAATACAGATCAAGTTATGCAATTTCTTGTTAAAATTTTAATGACCAAAATTTATTTTTTTAGAGAACTGAGTTCTTAAATATAAAAAAATTATAACGAAAATCAATTTATAAATATAAGCAGAAATACAATTACAAAATAAACTTTTTTGCTGAATAAACTCATTATTGAATTGAATTGAGATTTTGAGCCATGCAAATTTCATTGCATATTTTTGCCCAGTTAGCAAATATATTCAATGATTCTCTTATATTCACTAGTTCTCGATAAATAAGATTTACAACAATTCCATATCGTGGAGTGTATTTTCAAAAAGTTAATTAATGCTAAGTGGGCAAAAATATTCAATGAAATTATATATATATATATATATATATATATATATATATATATATATATATATATATACAATACTCTCATTTCACCTTGATTGTATATAAATGGAAACAATTTATACCAATACAAACTAATGAAAAAAAATCAAGAAAGGCAAAACGTGCAACACGTCATATATATTGTGTATATATATATTATATATATATATATTATATATTATATGTATATATATTATAATACATATATATATATATATATATATATATATATATAATAAAATTGAATTAAATTATATCACCTATTCTCTTATATCACCTTGAATTCATATAAATGAAAACAATTTATAAAAATATAAACAAGGACATGGCCAACCAAAATAAAAAAAATCAAAAAATAAAATAAAAATACAGAAAATTTAATTGGATTTAATAATTAAATTTAAATAATTTAAATATAACATACGGTAACGAAAAGCGTACACGTACAGACATTTTGGAGGTCCTAAGCACTCATACAAAAATATTAATGGAGGTTAACAAAAGCGTAGCCATGTTACGAGTTAACAACACTCCAACAATTAGTGCAAAACAGCATGTTGTACAAACATCGACTCAATCACTGAGTAATAACAATTATTCAAAACAGACCAATGCACAAACTACAGTTCAATGTCAGGCCAACAAAAAGCGAGAAGAAGAAGACGATCGTAAACCGGGGCGTTTAGGTTCAACTAATATATCTGATAAATACTTAGGAAATAATTTAGATTGAGACTTATACATGAACGTGCAAATTTAAA